CATATGCCCGCAATGGACTAGTGGGTGGTGCCGTGCAGATGTTTAGGTACTATTGCGCAATTTCTGCATTTCTGACAAGGAAAATGAACTACCACCCCAGTAAATAATATAATATCAAAGGATGGCAAAAATATAAGAAAATTAATTGGTGATTCTGACTGAGAATTTTGGGATGTTAATTTTATCTTGTGTTGCGTCATGGCGCACAGATCAAATTCACAAGTAGTGTGACACGCATAACGCAAAACTGTTTATCTTATAGCCTAAAAAAGCCTAAGACCGAGAAGCACTGGAGCGAGATAGCCCGGCTCCAGAACACAGAACAAAACAAATAAACAGTTTTAACATTTAGAAATTACATTTGATGAATGCAATATTTTCAGTAAAAATCTCTAACGAGGTGCGCTCACTGGCACAAATTTGGTTCTTCCTAAGTAGTACTTCTCTCTACCCTAGCGAATAATCCAATCCCATTCATTTGGAAGCTCAATACTATGTACTTATTGACAAAGTGGAAGGGCCGTGCCTACTTATTTTGTATACTCCAAATGAAACAATTTCATATCAGCAAAAATAACAACAACAATATAGTAATAATATAATAAATAAATTGCCTCATTTTTGACCAATCACATTGCAGGATTCAGTAGGATATAAAAAATGGATATAATAATAATAACAATAATAATCATATTAGTAATAAAAATTATAATTATGATAATAATATTGACAATAATAATAATGATAATAATAATAATAATGACGAAGACGATGATGATGAAGATAATAAACGAACTTGTAGTGGTACAATCTAAAAGGAAAATTAGCGAAAATAATTTTTCTTGGGCCTACTGTGTTTATTCTAATTTACGTGCATTGATACATGCATATATTTTCAATAAATGATTGGAAACATTTGCCCCTCTGGCACTAAAATGGCTTCTCAAATCAACCATTGTGATTAGATGGAATGCGAATTTTTCGGTGCCTCGCCATTGGTTCGGATGAGAATGGCGGGAAACATAAGCCATTGGGACTCCATTGGCTTCCTAAACCAAGCAATCTAATTGGAGGGAATTCGAATTTTTCGGTGCCTCGCCATTGGTTCAGATGAAGATGGCGGGAAACATAAGCCATTGGGACTCCATTGACTTCCTAAAACCAATCAATCTAATTGGATGGAATGCGAATTTTTCGGTGCCTAGCCAAATGAAAATGGCGGCAAAGCAGTTTGATTGGACAGAACGCAAATATCGGTGCCTTGCCCGATTGGTTCAAGCTAGCGCCTCGTCTGAATCTCTAATTCGTCCGTCGTGGATTCCAAGCACTTGAAGACACACGATAGCGGCTGCTTGTTCCGCGTGCCTTTTACTTTTTTCCCTGGAAAGAAAGTTTGAAAACAACAAAGTGTAAGAAAACACTGATCATTAAACTATTATTAACATAATTATGAATACTCTTTTAATAGGTTCTTCTGGTTTGTTTTTTTGACGTTGTTATCGTTTTTATCTTGTAACACTGTGATAGACAGAGGATCTTAAATCATATCGCATGAGATAATAAACAAACAAACAAATGAATGAATGAAAAGATGGATTGAAGGTTGGATAGTTTGAACACTGTGATAGACAGAGGATCTTAAATCATATCGCATGAGATAATAAACAAACAAACAAATGAATGAATGAAAAGATGGATTGACGGTTGGACAGTTTGATGGATGGTTGGTTGGATCGATGGATGAGTGGGAAGAATGAATGAATAAATGGACAGATAAATGGTTGAGAGATGGGATTGATAGATGGATGAGTAAATAATCAAATAAAAGTTCAATATTTACCATTCACTAGTGGAATATTTTTGGTTATCCACAGTTACTGTACTTCTAAAAGTCTTGGTTTCTTCATCAATAACCTTGTATATGTACACAAAAATAACAATTTAGAAAAACAAAGAAGAAAAAACAGACCTTTTTGATAACTTTGCATTCAGTCTTTTCCTCTTTCTAATATTGCAATTAACACACTTTTACAGGAGGCATTTCTTCACGTCCATAGTCCACGTCCATAAGTTCCCAAAATCAAAACTTTCCACCAAATCGGTCCCCAATCAAAGTAAAGTCCCTTATTTACCGTATTATATACCGGAGGCTCGAGTTTCCTCTGTCTGAAAATCAAATCGAAGTGAATTTAAGATTAAAACAATCAGGGCTCCAATCCACAGCCAAACCAAATCTACTTTTAATAGTAAATCTTTTCATAAGAGCGAGGATTCAAAAGACCTACCTCGTGACATGGGTTAATATAGCCTTGGGCGACGAGGAGTCTGAATAGTTGCGTCTAAAATGATATACACCAATRAACTAAATCATTCCTTCTGGCTATCTGGGGCTCAATGAAGAATATCAAAAAAAAGATTGTTGTCTATTGAGCTGAAAACCTGGAAAAGGAAATATTGAGCTACCAACAAATGCTCGCTGATTGGCTTATTCGAGCCAAGAGAAGAGAAAGCACATGACAATATTGACATCTAAAAAATATTTCCTTGTTTTGACCCCCAGATTTGGAATTTCTCTGTGAAAGTTCTAGAATTATCCTTTATCTATGGCATCATATGCCATACCTCATACATGTACTTTACCTTAAAAATTTCACCTTCATTTCTAATACTTCGCACTCTGTATCACTGAGTTTTCGTTTAACAACGGTTGGTTCTGAATCCTGTAGATTGATACAAAATGAAGAATACTAGTTAAACAAAATAATGCATATTAAAAATCTTACAGCAGGATTTTTTTCTATGTTGCCTTGTTTCAAAAAGTGACGGACCACGACGTCGGGGAAAAGTAGAAATAAAAGACATTGCTTAGCAAAATGTATTTTAAGATAAATGTATAAAAAGTAATTCATTTACTTACAGTGTGCAGCTCTAAGAACAGCGGGGATTGTGGGGTTGTGACTGCCTTTATATTAGTATTGGCAGTAAAATAGTTAATTGTATTGTGGGGGGGGGGGGGGGGGGGGGGGGTGCAGGGGGTAGAAAATGGATAATTTGCTGAGTTAATATTACAGCGGGCAGTGGCTGCTGATATCATTCATTATTACTATTTTATATTTCATTTTATTTGTTATAAACTACAATGTATATTTATTTATAAGGAGCCAATATAATACATTGTTGTTAATTGAAAATTGACCACATGAGAAATCTTAAACATTTCCCTGTAAAATGGTTCACCAGTGTATGTTATTTTAGTCGTACCTTTTTATTCATGGCTATCTTGTATTCCAATCTTTTTTTCTGGCTTTCCTTGTAGTAGGGCAGAAGATCAGCGATGGAACTAAACACAAAAATAATACTTTGTTTTTAATTTTTAGAGTGCTTTATATGCTGCGACCCAAACAACAAGCCATTTGCATCAAACAGTTACGTGCTGATAAGTGACATCATCTAAGTGTGCTGATATATATAATATCAATAATGTATCATTTCAGCCAAAGATCCCTTGGGGAGCATTTGCTTGTTGGCAAAATGTGGCTCACATCTTATTATTGAAAGCATGTTAAGGAAAATATAGCATTTTGAAAAAGGATTTGGATTAGAAATCCAGTAAAAGTTCTTTTACTGTAAATGAGGGTAGTCCGAATCCCCCCCCAGTCATGTGATTATTTCATGCAAGGGGACTAACCAAAACTAGTTACCAACAAGAATGTTACAGTGTGGACACAACATTTGCGCAATAACATCTACATTTTTTTATCAGAAATATAATTAGCCTGTGTACAGCTGCTTCCCAACCCCACCCCCTAATGGAAAAATGGGGAGGGAGCTCCTGCTTGATCCTGATTGGCTGAAGTTGGGTTGATTTGTTTTTAATCTGCATTATGATTGGTTTACTGATCCCAGTATGAGTAGCATCCTACATACCAAAGTTCTTCTATATTCTTTGCTGCAGTGACTCTTCTTACAAGGTCAGCTGTGCGTTCCTCATGAAGCAGAGTGATGACACAGTATTTGGTATTACTGAATAAATTATCACAATCTACTGCCTGTAGAACAATGATATGGTATGGCAAATTCAACCATGCGATAAACTTTGTTCTTTAAAATGAGCTGTTCCAGTATTATAAAAGGCACTTGAAGTGAGTCTAAATACTAGGGAATGGTTATTATTTATTGCCTGGGGTTCGGCGAGGGTGGGTGGAGGGGCTTGGTGAGGGGGTCAGTTTTCAATGCAATGGAGTAGGAGATCAGRAAATGGACAGGAATCAAAGGAGGATAACTAATTCGGGGGATCATGACAAAATATAGTACAATGGGTTAGTTAATCTTAACTGATACAACAAAAATAATAAAAATCCTCCAACTTTGTGTTGAATAATTACTGGTCCCCTAATTTAATAATTTTAGCTTGGGCATAATATTTTCCCATTTCAGACCATTCTCATGTCGTTCTCTTGAGAAAAAGATTTGTTGTTTGAGTTGTATCGATATTCATGTGCCTTATCGTGTACAACAGTTAAACCAGCTCATATTAGCTTTAGGTATTTGGTGGTTTAGGAACCATTTTGGCACAAACATATTGTGTAGAATAATTTGTCACTAGCTGAAAGGGAAACTGAAAAAAATCAGAGTCCCTGATAGGAATTGAACCCATGACCTTCTGGATTCCTGTCAGATGCTCTACCACTGAGCTACAGGAAAGACTCATGATAAGTAATTATTTACAAAAAAAAATATTGTAATCATAACACTTACAGTTTTGATATATTCTTTCATCATTTCTATCTTGGAAACTGGACCATTCTTCCTATAATTTTAAAACACATTTGTTAAGTTTTCAGGGTTCACACAAGATTCCAGGAGTTTCCAAGGATTAAGCTATTTCACTGCAACTTCATCATACTACATGTAGTAGATTATCTTAAAAATCCCCCCCCCCAAAAAAAATCCCTAAATTACAACTCCACTTTTCAAGAAGTAATCAATGACTTTTCTGTCACTAATATTTTTTCAAGGGTTTTTCAGTATTCCCTTTGAAAATAGGTTTTATGAGTTTTCTAAGAATTGAGCACGAATAGTCCCCTTCGCAGTTAACCATACAGTACCTTTGCATCAAAATGAAACAGCAGTAACCTTACAATGATAGAGACCTATTTTAACCACTCTGACAATAATTACAGTATTCAAATGTCGTCATCATTGCAAAGTCACCACCTTTCTTGGTTCGATGCACAGGCATAGCCACCTTTCAAGAAGGTGCTGGGAACTGTGAAATGAGCTATAGAGGCTTTGCACCATTACGTACAGGAGGCACAACAATAGAGTCATTCTCCTAAGGGAAAATGAATTTTTTCTTATGTAAATCAGATTAGACTAGATTCAATTGTTCCTGATTCCATGTCATGGCTGCCATCACGTGATGGTGCAAATGCTCTATTCTGGGTATTCAATAATGGAAAAAGAAGAGAACACATAACATGATAAGTCACACATACCTAAATATTGACACATTCCACTGTGCTGCCCTAGCAACCATAACTGATGTACAGTTAGTTTGGTATTTGTACTTTTGCATGTCTTCAAATGTCTTGATATCTAATGAGCCTCCATTAGCAATGACAGGTATTGATAGAGTTTCAGTGATTGCACGCTGTACATCACTATGGACAGGCTCACTTGATCGCWCATGCTTTTGTCTGAAATGCATAAAAAATGTGTCAGGGACATAGGAGCATCATTTTTATTGGGGGGGGNTGGGGGGGGGGGGGGGGGGGCTAAAATAAAAATTATGTTGTCTTTAAAAAATAGAAAGGGCGCGTCTGCTGATGCCTCATGCTTCTTGACACCTAGCAAATGCTGTACCTGGCAAATGTTAGGGGGGATGCTAAAGGGGTCCAGTTGAAAATGGAGCAATCTGATTGGTTAATAATAATAAAAATAAATTACATTTATAAAGCGCAGATTAGCACAAGATGTTCATCTGCGCTGAATACAGAAACAATACACAACTAGAAACATAAAAGCTAAGTTAATCAATGGGAATAGCAAAAACAACTAAATAAAGGTTCCCTGAGTTTACCGCATACCCACTACTGTTGATGATGAAATTCAAGGTTTTTACCTTCCATGTACTGCCAAAGCAGCCACACCAGTGCTCTCTATTAGTCTTGCTAGTTTTAAGGTTTCTTCCAACTGAAATGAAAAAAGAACATGATGAATTAGAAACAAGTTAAAGGTAGGAAAGGTGGATGAATGGGAAAGGGTAGCACAAATAAATAGATGATGGAATGAATGAATGAACAAATGAATCAACGAAGCATGGGAAAAGCTAATAAATAAATAAATAAATAATCAAAAGAATCAATGAATAAACRAACGAATTAATGAATAAAGGAAAGATAGATGGATGGGTGGAHGGACAGACRGACGGACGGATAGATGGATGAAATAATTACATTRTAAGTACTAGAAGAATGGATGAATGGATTGATGTACCAATGAATGGATCATCATTATCCTTTATGCCTGAATGGTATAATGGTATACACCTAATTCAAAAACGTTGGCATCATCAAAGGCGATAGGCGATAGGTCATTCCGACATGGAAATGGTTTCGTTGAATACAAAGAACATCGAACCACTCTCAGCACCGTTTTTTGAATTAGGTATGTGCATGATGAATGGATCATCATTATCCTTCATGCCTGAATGGTATAATTCTATGCAATATAATCAAATACAAGACAACTAGGTATTCTTCATTGGGGAAATGAAGTTTATTAGACCAGTGCAGGCGACAAACCTAGGAACGGGACAGAGGAACCTGATCAGGCTGACCTAACTAAACTTCAGCCCACCAACGAGCAACCCCAATGAAGAAAGCAAAGTTGTCAAGTGTAAGTACTAAATCTATTTACAATACTGAGAGAATGCGTGAACACATAGTATCTGCTACTCTGATCTTGGAAGTTAATGGGAACACTATGAACACTATATAAAATCCACTGAGAAGGCGAGATGACTAAATGACTGAACGCACATGGATCGTAATCTGAGTATGGGTAATATGACACTACACCTCTGTGTAGACACTAAGTAGAACAATAACAGGATAGCTCTGAATTAAATATTTTAAGTAACTTAAAATAAACCAATGGTATATATACAGGATGTATGGATCATCATCATCCTTCATGCCTGAATGGTATAATGGCATATACATGATGAATGGATGAGTATGCATAATTGAAAAGAGAATTGGACTACAAAAGAAATCACTTACTGTTGGTAGAATCCTTATCTTGCATGTAACAGGTTTATAAACCCCCTTCACAAGTGTTGTAAGAATCTAAAACAAAAATGATGAAAACATTCTTTTAGAGGAATTGTATATAATAAATTATAGCTTCCTTGGAAGGGGCACYGGCACTATTTGCAAAAGATTTTATGATTGGTTTAAAAAACAATAGATTGGCCTTCCAAACAAGCCAACTAAACCAAATTTATAATTCTGTCTGATGTTTACAAGATATATAATAATCTCTTACTTGATATATTTTGTCTGGGTTGGTTAGCAATGCTGCTCCCATACCACCCTGCAAGACGAGTAGCAAGTAAACATGTTACAAACCAACAGAAAACAACAACATTTGGTGTTAACTAATATATATATATATATATATATTAGACTAATAACTGCATTATGTAATATATGAGAATATGTGGACCGTGTAGTGCTCATGAAATACAAGATACCGAAATATAGATAAGTTATAGTGCTAGGGAATGAGGTTATTCCATCGAAAGAACCATGGAAATAAATTCGGAAAAATTAATTTCCGACCTTGCTGGGAATCGAACCCAGTACAGTAGTACAATTCCGAAGGTCGTGGGTTCCATTCCCAGCGAGGTCAGAAGTTAATTTTTCCGAATTTATTTCCAAGGGTCTTTCACCCGGAATAACCTCGTTCCCAAGCTTTATAACTTATCTATATTTCTATATATGTAATATATGTTTGAATATCTCTGTCCTGTGAAATAAACAAAAAAATATGGGAGCAAAAATTTTTTCCAAGAAAAATTATTAGGAACTGGGGCATAGCRAGGTCTTGGTCATGGTCACAGAATGTTTATATCACAGGACAGAGACACAAGCATTCATTTCATTAAAATAYTATTTTTGACAATTTCTTGTTACAATGTCTCAGACCTCAGATATAAACACAGCAGTCCACCAATTTGCTTACAAATGCATTTTCACATATTTTATACCAAATGAAATATAAAGATCTGGATTTGTTACTGTATCTCGTACCTTGACAGAATAATCTTTTGGACAGCCCATATTAACATCAACTGCTGCTACATCTTGCTCTCTAAAAAAATATTGTTTATAGAATGATATTTTTATTAGCAATGTTTCAGCGACTGACCAGAAAACAAGTGTGGAACTATATATTTGATCATAATATTTTATGAAATGTTTAGTGATTCTGGTTACAGATTCTGGCTTCAGAACCATGATTATTCAATGAAATAATGAGAGAATAACAAATCCAGTACTCACACATGCTTGGCTGTTTTAAGAGCTCTTTCTGGGTCTGCTGTACCCTTGAAATATATAGAAAAATAATAGTATTACTTCTTTGATGAGTAGTACCAAAAATGTCTACAGTATACCTCTTTTATTGAAGGAACAGAAGTCATGCGTGTATACATGGAAAGTACACATGGCATATCAGCAAGTTCCCTCATCTCTCACAAATGTGGCCCTGGTTCAGGGGCCCTGCTGGCCTAAGTGTTGTATGTGAGTAGAGTTGTTTATTGGTTCTGTCCTGTGCTTTGAAGGTTTTTCGCCGGGTTCTCTGGTTTTCCTCCCTTCACTAAAATCTAATTCTATCTATCGGTTGCCTTATAATATTGGGTAATACATGTAGACCTGTAAAGCTTTCCGTCCACCTCAGAGTAGTAAAGTTGAATAAATAAAGAAATAAATATGTGCATGGAGGGATAGGCAGAACAGGAGAGAAGGGTTAGGAGAGGGATGAATGATGTACATACCATTTGAAAGACAACATTACTGTGCTCTTCTTCACAAGTTCTGAACACAACAGTTCCATCTGCCATTACAAAGTCAACTGTCTTTAATAGCTCTGTTAAGACAAAAAGGTACATTCATTAATTGATTTATACATGGACCATCATTCTTTTACTTATTTATTTGCTCATTTATTGGTTAATTCAATCATTCATTTATACATCCATCCATCCATACACATCCATCTATCCCTCCCTCTCTACCTTCCGTTCATTTTATTATCTATTATAGACTGCCACATAGTACACACAATAGACATGTAACATATATTCTTATCTACATTTTTTATTTACCGTTTTCAACACGGTTTGTTCTGAGCATCTTGAAATCAATTATTTCCTAAAATAAACCAAAAAATGATTCTTCATTAACTTATCCAATAAACACTTATCTTACTTTATCTAAAATGTTATCCAAATTTCAAATAATGCAAGACAAGTATATATAAGGATGTTTCTTACAACACATTTACATTCACATTCTACTAAAATAGTAACTTATAACTCGGGGGGGGGGGGGGGGGGTGGTGTACTCCCCTACATTCACTATACGGGTACGTGCTGCCAAACAGGGCATGGTTTTCATCGTTTCTACTCTGGAACAGTGTATATAAAATCGCGCTTGCTCTGGGACAGGGTATATGAAATCACGCTCTCTCCTCTCTGGAACTATGAATTTCAGCGATTTTACTCTGGAACAGGGTCAGGGTTCAGTGGCCTCAAYGACACATCCCTACCTTAAACGGGCAAGAGTACCCCCCCCCCCCCAGGCTTATAACAGTGGTCTAACCATTCTACATTGTAGTTATACAATTATTTTGAGTGGGATACTATGGAATATTCCATGAGGCACAATTTGTAATATTGTAATAGACCATTTTCTCAAGGTTGCATGCACATCCATCCAAATTTAAAACACGTGATGGGCCACRATACCAGAACTGGAGCTTTATGATGAGTATTATTCTACATTGCTATGAAATTTTTTTGGAATTTGTAAAATTRATTATTCTCCTCTTTAAATATAAAACTGGTTTCTCAATTTTGCTGAATTTACGTTTTTCAGTTTTGTGGCCCGTTGGATGTGCACGCAACCTTGAAAAACGGTCACTATGCATGCAATTGTTGGAGGTGAGCACGGGTGGCAAGGATGGTGTAAGCTGCTAATACATTGTCTTTCACTGCTGTAAGTCCAATGGGTTGGGCCCCATTGGTTCAAGTTTGGTTGATGAGTTGTTCTCTTATTTGCCATGAGGGTTTTCTTCCAGGTTTCCTCCCTCTGTAAAGTATTGTGTATTGGCAAGTATTGTGTGCATAAATTAGTAAATGTAGAGGTAGTGAGTGTAAGTGAAGGCAGGCCCTCATCAGCGATTGCTGCCAAAATAATCAGTCTGCTCTAAGATTGTTATTAATATTAGTATACAAGAAAATGACAAGTGGGATATTCCATGGCGTGTCATGAGAAAGCATTGTATAACTATTTTATCCCACACCATAGAAAACACGCCTAAGATGTAGGCTGCAATGATTGATGGGAATGAACAGTGGAATACCACAGGATATACAATAGCTTTATTGYATGCATTCTGATTGGCTATATTTTTATTAGTCTGCAGAAAATCAAGGTATACAAGCCACTCACTTTGAGAACAAGGGTGTGTTTCTCAACTATATGTCAAAATATACTGTACAAACCTCTGAATACACAAGGTCTGCTCCATAGCGAAGGGCTAAGAGTCGTGTAGGCAGTGTTCCAATGCGTACCATAGGAGCTAGAATGTATTTATTGGTATACATGTCTCTGAAGGATTTCTCATCACCTTCCATTCCCATATTTATCAGCAATTTTGCTTGCTATGCAATAAGCTTATGTTTCTGGGGGGGAAACGTGGAATGAAACGAGTTAAGCTTACAAAGTTCTGATTTTTTGCTTTGATTAAAATTATGTTAAAGAGTTATACAAAGATAGAAAACAAACTTGAAAATTTGAAACTAAGGAGCTAGGATTACCTTCTATAAGGTCGTAAACTTGTCTAAAATTCGGCTCAGTAAAATAAGAAAAGCTACCTTAAAACGTGGTGAATCTCTACATTGCATAATCCAATGTTAGATCTTTGTCCTTCTCTCTTGTGTTCTCTCGTGATTATTTTGGTGATATATATATATATAATATAAAAGCTATATAAGTGAAGGCTATGGAGACGTGTAGTTAAAAAAATACTTATTGTTACTCTAGGAATTATAAGATTTTTTGGCTTTTCAGTGTCTTCTGTAGTCAAAGTGATCCGCCATATTGGATGCAGAGAAGGCACTGGGAACGAGTCGAAACTTAAAGCCCCCCACAGGCAGCCCAAGCAACGTATTTACATTTACATTTACCAGTTAGGTCATTCGCTCAATACTGAGCATTTTAGACCACGCTAAATAATTATTAAAATGATTAAATAATTAACATATTAATAAATAGAATAAATAATAATAAATAGTAATTGTCCAACAAGTTAATAAATATCTGTAACTGCATTCTTAAATGCTGCAAGTGAGGTTGCTAGTGTTGCTTTCTTTGGGAGTTGGTTCCATTCTGAAAGTGTTCTTGGGTAGAATGAGTACTTGTAATAATCCTTTGTGGCCATAGGCTGAGTATACACGTACTCCTTGTTCAAACGGGTAGAATAGGAATGACCAAGTGGCTTAATTCTAACACYATCTTGACAAACCAGCTTATTTCGTATCTTGTAAATCATAGATTGTCGTGCTATCCTTCGTCTGCTTTCTAGCGTCTTCCACTTCAGTACTGAAAGCATTTCAGTTACACTGTCCTTACGATCAAAGCGTTTCAGGACCCAGCGTGCAGCTCTCCTCTGAACCATTTCAACCATGCGAATATTTTTTACTGTATACGGGTCCCAGACAGATGAGCAATATTCCAAAATAGGASGTACTAAAGCCTTGTGTGCTGTTTCCTTGGTACTGGATGGACAATGTCTTAAGTTACGCTCAAGAAAGCCAAGTGTTTTATTGGCTTTTTTTGAGATATTTCTGGTGTGTTCGTTCCAACGAAGATCCTCAGCCAGATGAACACCAAGATACTTAGCAGAACTTACAGAATCCAAGGCTTTCCCTCTAAGTTCATAATCAAATACGTCTGGATTCAGCCTTCTCGTAACTCTTAACGTTACACTTTGAGGTATTAAACTCCATTTCCAATCTGATTCCCATCTTTCCAAGTTTAGAAGATCTCGTTGTAACTGAATACAATCATCCTTGGACTTGATAACTAAATAAATCACGGTGTCGTCTGCAAAGAGGCGCACTTTAGACTTCACATACAGAGGAAGGTCATTAATAAAGGCCAAAAATAAGGTAGGACCGAGTACAGAGCCTGAGGGACTCCCGTTACCACTGGAACTTGAGTTGACATCGTGCCTTCAAGGACCACACTTTGCTTTCTGTCTAACAAAAAGCTTTTTATCCACGTTAGAGTAACAGTGTCGACTCCATAATTTAAAAGTTTATAGAGCAGTTCCTGATGTGGCACTTTATCGAATGCCTTTGAGAAATCCATTACTATTACATCAGTTTGTCCATGTCACTTATCTGTGTTGTGTAAAACCAGGGCCTGATGAAAAACTATGTAATTCTGAGTGGTTTTTAGCTGTTTTAGAGCAGTTTTTCGAAAAATATGCCCACCAGTAAATAGAAATAGAAAGGCTGGTGACTCCAGCTCGACACAACTCGTGTTTTTATTACAAACTAGGGTTAAATGTTTCTGTATATATATTTCAACTCATAGCTGAAACGTCGTTACTATACTTGTTTTACTCTCTCCTTACCCTTTCATTAGATTTTGATATAAATGTCTCCTGTCAAGGTGTCTTAAGGAAAAAAAAATCGAATTAAGGTCTAGTATCTCAACAATCTCAACTTTCATATTTTACTGCACTGWGTTTGCGCGTGAATTACTTTGCGGCTAGTTTCTCAGCAAAACGCGTCCCACATGGAACGCGTAAATTACTTCACTCTCGGTTCTGTTCATTGATGATTTCATTCAAAACACTGTCAGTAAACTCAGGCCCCGTCCACACGTATCCGGAAATTTTCGTTTCCGCAAATTTTTTTTTGCGGATACGGTTTGCGTCCACATACAGCGTATTCAAATCGTTTTCACCGTCCACACGTGTACGTTTTCGCGGTAGAATTTGCAGATACGGTAACACAAATTTCGGACTCGTGTGGACGTAACCCCTATCCGAAAAAAAAAACAAAAAACAACAAAACAAATTGCGGATACAAAAATTTCCGGATACGTGTGGACGGGGCCTCATCCACAGGGAAGACAGACTTTAAAGGTGCGAAACTCCACAGTTGATTCATGGACCCGCTAAATAGTTATGCCCAAATCTCGTAATATCATACAGTCATCAACATATTTAGTATCAAGTAATATAATTCCAACTATAATTTTATAATCACTTCAGCATCATCAACTTTTACCCGCCCCTTACAGCTTTTTTTAAAATACCTTTTTACAGTAGTTTTACAACAAAATTTGTCTGATGCAAAGGAAAATCTGGAACGGTGTTGGATTCTGGATTCTACTTCTTGGTAAGTTTGGAATTGTAAGTTTTTATAGAAATATACATGGATAGTTGAGAATTCAAGTTCCAGAACCCCTTACATCAGACTACAAAGAATATATGTCTACGGCCGTACTATGTTCAGCATGCAATAATAGTCTACAAACATAAAATGGACTTCAATTTGAAAGCTATTTTGTTTTTTTCAGTTTGATAATCATTTTAACTAACACTGAACTAATCTGCGTAGTCAAGATCATTAGGGACGGCGGTTGGGGAAGGAAATATGAGGGATGGGGCGAGGATGGACCTCCTTTCTTTCCCCTACTCCTCCCCTTGACCCAATAACGCAGGTTAATTCATATCTACTAATACCCCGTTCACACCACGCCTTGAAAAATGTTTAAAAGTTGTTTAATCAAACTAGTGATCGTTCACACTGCACTGTGCACACTGCTAACTAAACAAGTTTCAAACCTTGTTCAACTAATCTTCGTCGGGAAGGTAGTATTGATCCTGTTTAAAGATGGCGGCCAAACGACGAAGGACGTAGTTGGTGTGAACCGGGGTAGTATTGYATGCATGCATTAATTTTGTAAAATTAAGCAGGGCACTGCATCCAAAATCACTTGAAGATGGTGTGAGTGTGAGCCAAAACATCTGCTTATACTGTATATATTAATTGCAGACTTGATTAAAAATTGAAATGGTCCTAAAGTTAAATAAATAGAAAATAATAATAAAGAATGGTAAAACAACCAATGAATCTTCTCAGGATTGCGTCGAACTTAACCCAAATGCAAAAATCTTTTAGAAAATTCTTAAAAGACATTTAAAGTATTGGTTTTTTTTYCATGACACTTGAGACAAAATAGTCCACTACCGAGATATGCTTCGCTTGTCACACACGTACGAATTAAATGGATTCTTATCTCCTTTCACAAACACGAATTACTGTTCATTATGCACGAAGCCTCTCATTGAAACCTTTGTGCATGACAAGCGAAGCACCATTTCGGAAATAGTCTATTGTTTTGAACTTTTCTTTTCGTTTTTGCATCTAGTTTTGCCGTTCGTTTTGCCGGTACCATGCCGCAAGCAATCCAGAGAAAATCCCTCAAAATTTGTAACAAAATAATGTAGATATAAAAACATCTAAAAATTTGATTCTTAAACATGAGTTCGTCAACAGAAATTACAATTATTCTAAATGATTAATGGATTTATAGCCTATAATGAATTGATTTCGAAATTGATATATTACATATAAATCATTCAATTAATTAATGTCGTTAATTCGATTTTGCCAACCCCCCAGAATTTCAATACTTGTCAAAAATCCAAGTGTCAAATAAGTTCGCGATAATGCATTTATATATGCGATTAAGTATCAAAGGCTATGCAGTTTTTATAACTGCTGGGCTTATGCAGTTCAACAACGCAGTTTCTTGCTACCTGTCACGCTGTTTTGTTACGTTACAAAGTGCAACAAGATTGCGAGACAAGACTTTGGTATGTTGCCAGAAGATAGTCCTGTTTACGTTGGGCTTATGTTTTACCATTTCAGACCACGTGTCATTACCTATAGTATCATTACTTTGTTTATCGGTAACGCATCAGAAGACGCACGAGTAAAAAAGAATAATTTTCTCTAGGAAATGACACGTTGTCTGAAATGGGAAAACATAACACCCAAGGTAAACAGGTCTTTCACTCTTAGGCATCCCACATGGAGCCCAATCTGTCCTCAACACGAAGTACTCTTTTTAGAAATTAAAAGCAAACTGATGATAAGTCTTTCCGCATGGGATTATCGGGATCGGCAAAAATAATAAGCTTTGCGCATGCGTTGCCAATTTCAGTCCCACAATTCCACGAGAAAAGAGTTAGTCGCCAGTCTTAATTTGAACTTTCAAGGCAATTACACACGGCGATCTCTCGTCCATCTTGTCTCGCAAAAAAGACGTCGCAGGTTTCAAGAAAAAGACCATATTACGCCGGGAAAATTTTCTGCAACAAAAATTGGAAGTCAAAAATACAAATTGCGCGTGCTTATGGACACGTTAAAAAGCTCTTGTACGACAATCTGCAATGTCTTATGCGTAACAACTCGCAGGAGAAATCGTTGTGCGTGACACTTTAAACTAATGGGCTTCATTCTAGCATAGCTCCTTTAGGGTAACATAAACTAGCATGAAAAAACCCTTCAGTACACCGTTTTCTAAAAGGTGCGYGCGCATTCAACTTGACGGGCCACAAAACTGAAAAACACTAATTAAGTAAAATTGAGAAGCCAGTTTTATATTTAAAGAGGAGAATAATCGATTTTATGAATTCTTATCGGAAAAAAATCATAATCCAGGATAATACTCATCATAAAATTCCTGTTCTGGTATCGTGGCCGTCAATTTTTTAATTTGGATGCGCACGCAACCATGAGAAATCGGTCTATATTTAATACGCAACATACCTTATCTTATTATCACTTTTCCCAAACTATCCCAATTTAAAATTTATATTTGTTATACTGTCTAACTAATGAAATGTTCGCTTATGATATCGATCTTGGTTCGATTCCTGGAAACAACCTGAATTATAATAATTGATTTTTGCACGAAAAAGGACGAGCATTCGTTGTGAGCATGCGCAAATACATGGTCAATGGAAATTGAGTCGATCCCACATTTCTTGGACCAGCTTTCTACATACAAAGTCATCATAAAACCTACTCCTAGATTTTTCAAGATACAATATACATTGAAAAAACTTGCAAAGAAATAGTTCCAATGAAGCTAACTGATCAGCCCTAAGGGGTATTCACCGATGGTGCTGACATGCGCAGCGCCATAATGAACCTTGAAATTCCCTAAAGATAGACCATCATGCATTTCGTTAACATGCAAGAGGCTGGCCCTTTTTTTTTTKAATTTTTGAGGATCATGTGATGTCATAACCGCCATTTTGGATTAATGGTGCTGTAACCTCGCTATTTTTTAGCGCTAAAGCTGTAATTTATTTCAATCAAAATCCATATGTATTTATAACCACCACCACTCCCCATGCGGGGCTCTTCCCTGAGGTTCCCTCCACACGCACTACCACTACATTCTATGATATTGTACAGCCAGCTGTTTCAAAGAGCGAAAAACAAATTATAAGAGGTTACAGCAGTTGACTCCCATCCCTCCCCCGTCGTAAAACAAGGGCTAAGCCCGTGAAGGACTAGGCAAGAGTAATATTGCACACTGAGGTTGACTGGGTATAAGGAACAGAAGTTAGACATTGCAGAACTGGTTTAGAGGTTTTCACCAACCAATTGGGGGCTTCCACTTAAGATCACATGACCCTGAGAAAAGGAGCTAAACCGTGGAGGACTGGTCAAGAGACGTTCGTCACACAATTTATTTCAGTTTACATGGCCTATGATAGTCGAACTTTAAGGAAAGAAAAAAAGAATGCAATCATTCTAGATGGTTTGATTCTCCAGGATATTTATGATCTGACTTTGCCTTTGTGGYGAATCAGGTTTTGATCAGTCTTTAAGAGCGTCTGAGATTAAAAACCTACTATTTCTACGAATTATGATATTTTGCTTCGTACGAATGGGAAATCAAAATTCTATCGAATATTCCATTATATTATGTTTGTAGTCTTGTTATTATAGTTAAATAGTATAAAACCCAAAATGCACAAAGCACTAAACAGGTCACATGCTCTACCTCCGCCATATTGGATACCAAAAATGGACAAAGGAATGTTTCTTGTCAGGTGTGCATGGTTCACGTGATTTGTCAGTGTCTGTCTTTCAACAAAAACAAAAAATAAAACAAAACACACACAAAAACAAAAATGACCCCAAATAAGTCTTGCTTAGATATTTACGACTTCATGCCTCTTTGGTAAACCTTCTCTTAGCTCTATCTTCTCCATGCGATCACTGTCGGCTCGCGATAGGCTGCGTATTCTGTCGGAGAAGGAACCCTCTGCACGGCAGATCTTGTAGATAGCTACTCCTGGAATCCACAACATTGAAGCTAAAGCCATGACCCAGCCGACAAACTCTGCCCAAGGGGGGTACTGATAGGTACCGTACGAGACTCCTTTCCACTGTGCTATGCTCGCGAAAAATAGCACTGCAAAGAAAGGAGAATAAGAAAATGGTTTATTAATGGGTGAAAGAAATATAATACTGAGCGTCTATCATATTATCTGGACGGATTGATTTTGATTGGTAGTACAAGAATCCAGCTAGAGTCTTCATTACTACCCACCACACCAATACCACCGGCACACCAATACCACCACCAGCACACCAATACCACCACCAGCACACCAATACCACCACCAGCACACCAATACCACCACCAGCACACCAATACCAACACCACACCAATACCACCACCATCATCCCAATTCCCATTACCACAATCATCACCAGCACCACACCAGTACCACCACCACACCAATACCACCACCACACCAATAAAACTACCACACCAATACCAACCACCACATCAATACCACCATCATCACCCCAATTCCCATTACCACAATCATCACCAGCACCAGCACCACACCAGTACCACTCTCACCAACATCAACATCAACACCACACCACCACCACCATTACCACAATCATCACCACTACCACCACCACCACTACCAACACCACCACCACTACCACCTTTAGTATTGTTGTTGTCAGTAATTATTACAAGCACTTACTAAGAATAACAGTAGGTGTGAAGTATTTCCATGCTAGCGGCCACCAGGCCCAGATCTTATATCCAATCATCAGCTCAATATCCTTCGCAAATCGGTCTGCGCCGTAGAACCAAGCGACCACCACCACTTCAAAGAAAGCCAAAAATACCAACGAGATGCCTCCGGACTGCCAGACGTAAAGATTCAGTATGAAGCCTCCACTCTGACAACAAAACAGAATATTACATTTTTACTGACTCAAAGTCGAGTCGGGAACCAAGGATAGCGTGGCGGTAGCACACTTGCCTCTCTGCTTTGGGGTCTCGAGTTCGATAGACGCTGACTAGCACCAACAGGTTGAACGTGACCCTACCTCCCCTAAAACGAGCAGCTATGTCAAAACGAAGGACAGAAGTTAAATGAGCGCCTCAACAGTTTTAACTCATAACAAAAACAGGAGAATTGGCATTAAATATAAAATCGAATGTTTTGCAAGGATTTTTATGTGAAAAACCGTCTAGAACTTACCAGCTTACCAACACTTTTCTCTTGCAAATCCTTATACAAATATTCCATTTTATATTTAAAGCCATTTGTCCTATAAGTCAACATTACGAGCTGAAACTTCGCTCTTTTACTAATATCCAGGCTCTCTTTGTGAGTTCGTTTTATTACTGATACTCGTTTTAAGGGGGTAGGGTCACGTGACGTGTCAGTGCAAAATATCTTTTCCTGGACTCTGTATCTCGTGTGAGTAGAGCTTATTATGTTTTTCATTTGATTCGAGTGTTTTTCTCCGTGTTCTCCGGTTTTCTCCGCAAAATGATACAAGCTAATTTCCAATTCAATCTGTGAATTCCCTGTGCCCTGACTTTGATCAGCCAAGAGGTTGTTTCAGGGTTTGATCTTCAAGTTAACCGTGCCCTGACTTTGATCAGCCAAGAGGTTGTTTCAGGGTTTGATCT